CATACCCAGCCGCCTGTCTTCTGAGCCAGTTGCCGGTGGCGGCGAGACGACCGGAACCGACAAGATTAAAGCACTCTGCCAAGACGTTCTTTGGCGCATTAGGGTTGTTTGACTCTGTATGTGTATACTTTTGTTTTGTATGTCTTCATCCCTTATCACTTTACGCTGCATTTGACTAAATGTCGATCTCTGTGACGAATGACACGAAATAGCCTCGTATTTGTGTGTGAAGTGTCAGCTGATGTCAAATATTTTGTGTAAGTGTCACGGACGGCGGCGGGCCACCAGCGGCGCGCCGGGCCGTGGCTCATCATTCATCTCATAACTCCGAATAGCCCTGTCGGAATACTGATGGAAATGTAGCGAAAATTGTTTGATTGGGCTATAGATCACGGCACACCAATATGATGTCTTGATGGAACCCAATCAAATCTCTGAAGCCGCCTCTTGCCAATGCAATCTAATGACGCTGTAGAGACGCGATATTAAGACAGTGCACATTGCACAATAAAGACAGAATATCTCTGCTACCATGGCTGGGACCAGGCCAATATTCCCGGGTATTTGAGTATTATGAAGCAAAGCAGCTCATGAGACGTATGTTTAATGCACTTTATATCGGCTAGTGCACAGTTTGCGCGGTTATTTTGCGTTCAATGCCTTCTTTTTCATTCATAGACACGTCTGTACCATTTGCGGGAGCCGATGCCTGAGAGTATTTCATTCTTTTCTTCCATTTTTCCATCAGCGCATTCTTTCTTCGTCCTGTACCCACCTCTGTCTGGCTTCTAGGTGACCCCAATTTTTACGAGGGAGGGTAATGTGTCGTATGCTTTTTTACACTGACCGTTTCCTTGTTAGCCGAGATCCCTTAATGAGGTTAGATTACCTAAAACAGAGCTCTTTTAGGGGACATTGAACGCGATTTGCCAAGCTAATATGATGTTATCTGAAGCGGCAAACACATCCGGTGGCCTGTCTCCCACTCCCATTTTCAAGAATATGGTCTTTCTTAATAACTTGACATATACTTCAGTAAGGTCATAGTTGATCGCATTGCCCTAATACACGGCGGTGTACTGATTACAGTGCATAAGTAGCATAATAGCATACTGGTATGACTCATGTCTGTGAGCAAATATTAAAAATTGCAGATGGTTAACACATATGCTGCTTTACGCCTTGGCATACAGCTCGGAAAGATTTGTGGATGCTTTCAACGTTTGCACGATGGGCGGCCTGGCAGCCCTTCCCCTCCTGAGGTTTGTCTTGAACAGCCTGACAGCTACTGAAGATCTCGCGCTGATTTTCAGAAGCTAGTTGCAACACATTTACACGTGCCGTCCTTTTCTCAGCGCTTTTCCAAATAAGTCGTGACCTGTGATCCATTCCGACGGGTATATGAGCCAGATGTAAATCACCAAAACAGTTGAATTGCTGACGGCTGGGACTCGTTACTCGTTTGCTTTATGTTTGTGAATGTTTTCGACGTCAGTGACATCGTCATCATCACACATAAGAGCTCATCGCATCGACGTCATCACACGTAAGAAGTTCGGTCATCGTTGGTCATTTTAGCCTTGCTCTTCATCGCGTGAGATGTGCATTCTGATGGTTATTGCAGCACGTTGCAAACGTGTGTCACCTCATTTGACCTGGCACGGATTTTAACGTGGTTTCAAACAAATACAATCTGAAACAGTCCGCCAGTCTGCGCCGAATGTCATTTATCGCGTCGTGGTGACATGGATGGCCATCACATGGTAGATAGGGAAATGTTTGACCGCATTGGCCGTTTTACCTTGCCGTGTCTGAGACCAAATGCAGTGAGTCTAATTTAAACTCGATTAAAATAGTGTCGAGCAATTATGTTTACGTGTATCCGATGTGTATAACGCAAATTTCTCCATTGCATGGGAATACAGTGCATGCCTGATCCCAACCACCTCGAGATCACAGATTTACCAAACAATAAGGATGGCCTGAGGTTTTACCTGATGGATGACCTCAAGGATGACCTGACTGTCGGACGGCCTTAGACAATGATCACTGCCTCGGTCGTTTCCTCTGTTGCCCTAACATGCAAATTTTGACAACTACTGGTGGTGTGGCTATATATTGGGCCTGCCATGAGCATTTTGGAAGTGTGATGCTTCCGTGACCGGGTGTTCACTCATTTGACCCAGACCCCAAAGCCCGTGCACTTTCAGAATTGGAGGGCAGCAAAGAAGTTGCTGGTGCTTGTAAAAGCGGCGCGTTCTTAAATAGTTGACATTATAAGTGGTGGGGAGCATTCTTGCCATTTCCGAAATGAAAATTATGAGGTTATTAGTGTGACCTGGGAGGCTACAAGTGTTGTGTCCCCCCACCCCCCCACCCCCCCACCCCCCACCCCACCACGTCAGGTGAGGAGGTGAAATAACCCGTGCGACAGAGGTCTGCTTCCTGGCGTCGGGAAGGCTGGTCTTACGTGACTAACAGTCCAAATTTACTTGGCATATGTAGCAGCCATAGTTCATGACCTCGACTACGATGCATATCAACTGCAAATCGAGTTGAGAGATGTGGAATAGAGAACGTATAAATGGGCTCAGGAAGTAATTTAGCGGTTAATGAGTTTGTTTTGGCGTTGTGATCATCTCATAAAAATATGGTTTTGGTCGTTGTGTTTCAGCACAAGGCTGCCTTGGTTGGTTCTGTCCCTTGCTGTCCGCAAGACTCTGTCGATATAACCATCCAGAGATCCTGTGTGAGCAGACCTTCAGATGATCTGTTGTTAGCAGACACAAATTGCCCTGACCTAGAATATACCAGGAGGGCTTGTGTATCATTAACCGGAAAATGGTGAATCGGTTGTTGACCTTCGCTTGGATAGCTTGGTGCCAACTTCGCCGGTCCTGGGAGGAATCCGCGAACCGTCTTCTGCATGCTAATGTCATTTGGGCAAATTGAGTTTGGCAACTTGGATGAACCTTGAGTCTTGAATTCCTACCGCGTCAGGTCACCTCTATTGTGACGTCGGGACATGCTATTGGTTTCTATTTTAGTCCTTCCCTTCGGTTATGCACCATACCTTCAAACTGCCTGGAGCCTAGTTGTGGGAGCAGTATTTATTTACAAATGTGATTGATTTGCGCGCGAGTCTTTTAAGCGGCTGACGAAGTTTTCATGAACGCAAGCGATCTTTGTGCTTGAAAGAGCGACACGCCCTCACGTGACTTGGGCGTTACCGAACGCTTTCGGTAGTATCACAAGTCACAACTCCACTTAGACACGAATAAATGCTTTTTTTGTCGGAAGTTGGCCTTATTTTTGGCAAGTTATGCCCCACTTCAGTTGTTTCATTTTACATCGATGCTGGGCACGAAGGCTTTTTCGCGCCGGTGCTGCATAAGCAAGCGGTTCATTGCTGAACATGAGATGCTTAAAAACATTACCAAGGCAGAGAGGAACCTCGGGGTGAAATCAGTAACCTGGAAAAACTTCGCTGAGTTTGTGCTCAAGTAATGCAGCTTGTAAAGGCGAAGTCGCTCAGGCGTGTCAAAGTGCTAAACAAGGAAGCAACTGCTTCTAGAATATCTGCCTGCAGCCTATACCGCCCACTGTCAAACTTCGATCCAGCTCCCTGAAGTCTGCCATGCGGCCATTCTGCACCCGGCCTCTGTCTGCATCAAGGGCAAGCATATCATGGCTAAAAATATACGCTTGCAAAAGCTGTCCAAATGCCTCATGTAACATAAAGTATCGGGACTTGTTGGTGCTCAAGAGACAATAGGACAGAACTGAAGCAAGAAGCACCACTACAGGCATTGTACATTTTTTGAAAATTACGCATCTAGCTATGTGAATGCTGGACTGCAAAAAATGTGTAACATATGGAACATGCGACAATCATCATAACCTGTAGGTCGATGGCCTGCAAGTTTTCTGCGCCATGTGGTTACATATCAAGACATGTGCTGCGGTGAGCATTTAGTATCGCGTCACAACTTACCAGACTTGGGCCGTTGAAGAGCATTGCCGTAATGATTTGTACAGAAGTAGGCATAATACAGACATAATTTGGACATTGGTTACTGGGAACTATTATGTAGACTTAACAGTATCTAAGACTTCATATTTTTGAAAGCTGTGTTCGCATTGCCTTGAAGTGCTTAAGCGTGAAATGTGATCATGCTCAGTAAAGGGTGATGTTTTATGTACATATGAAATGAGGCTGTAAATCACATCCAACATTGTCAACCAGTGTCGTTTAGTTAAGCGTTGCTGACGCTCTGCATGCATACTGGCACCGAGATGTACACCAAGCTCATTCACATCTGTCACTCAGATTTCAGTGGAGGAAAAGGTGATTGCGTTG